CATCAAAAATACAGCGACCGAAATAAGTGTCAAAAAAACGTTCTCTTGGGACTTAATGGGTTAAAATACAGTTGAAAATGAAAACCCATCTAAATTATAAAATTGCTATTTTCTTATCATTTACAATGCGATCAATATTTCTCCTATAATTGTAATAAAAAATTGGATAAGAACAATCCAAATAATGGTTAGATTTTCTGAACATTTTAAATGGATTTAAGTCAATTATTAATATCGAGCATCTCTACCAAGGAAATACGCGATGATAATCTGAAAGCCGGTAAAATACGCGTGTGCGATATAAACGTAATAATCAATCATGTAATACGCGCAACTAAACCGAGCGCGAGTGACTCGAATTCGCAGCTCGATTAATTTGAGTTTCACCACGGCGGTGGCGGCGATGTATTTTACAACAAAATATAAGGCAGAAGCTCCGCATCGCCCACGCGCAGCAGCTACAACGGCCGTAAAAGTTGTGCTTGCACATTGCGTGCGCGTACGTCTATGTCGTGTGTTAGGCGCAGAGCAGAGGTCAGGGGAACGGGGGAGGAGAGGGTGTAGCAACCGTCGTCCAGGAGTCGTAGCTGTGCGCGACAACACCCCAGACTCGACGTGGACGACGCGTATACACATACGTATACCTCGAATATATATACACGTTCACGTTAATATATTTACGTCCACGTGTGTGCACGCGTGAGTGGGTGGGTGGGTGGGGGTCCGCATATATACGTGTATATACGTATAAGCGAGCAGACGCAATTTGATCGCATCGCCAGATACGCGTGTCCTAGTTTACCTTGTGCGCTGTGTACGTATAATACAACATGTATATACGCTGGCTGCTGCACACGCACCGAAATGACCGAAGCTTTAAACGACAAGCCTGCGCGGCGTAGGCAGCAGTTCCTTGCTTATACGACCCCCCGTTCCGTTTTGCGAAAACCCCCGTGCTTCGGAGCTGCTTCGAGCTTTCTCGCGTTTATGTATTACGATGATTACGACGCGAGAATATATATATCTACGCACGCGACTGCATATATACATAGGTATACCTAAGAGCCAAGCAAATTATGCTTTCGTATTTACATTGCGTCCTGCGCAACTCTAACTCCGCGAGTTGGCCTCCGGCGCTTCACTCGCCCATGCACGTAAAAAAAAAAAGCTCGCCCTCGCGACTCGAAACACATGCATACGCATACATGCATACTAGTTGCGTGTGTGAGTAGTTGTCTTTTTTTGCCAATACACCAATACTACCTAACACCCGTGCGTGTGTTATTTTATGCGTATACGTGCAAGCGAGTGTATACGAATAACGACGATTGACCAGGCACAGGAGGCCTGGCATTCCCTCGACTGCGTGCGTGTGCCTGTGCGTTCCGACGACTTCCACCACGAGCGCTGCGTATATGATGGCAGTTCGTCACGTGAATTCACGAGCCCTGCAAGCATACATACACACATACACACACGATGGTGATAAAGTATGCATGGAGTTTACTTTGTTGTATTACATTGCTCATGCCCACCACTATCGATGCCGCACTGCCAAGTATATAATGACGTTTATTCTGCCACTGTACGGGGGCTCACACGCAATCGGACGAGATTCGTTTGATTTCTTCCCTGCTTTTAGTTTTTGCTTGTTTCTTTTTTTTTGTTTTAGAAATAAATGCTTTGTTAATTAAAAATCAATGAGTCGAATTTGATCCGCTATATTATTTACTTGTTTGGAGTTATCGGAATTTTGTAAAACATCATTACGAAGCGCTGCCGATCGTAAAAACGACAGCTCGGAAGTGATCCTTGGCCGTGTACAGCACATCGAAAAAGCGACCGACTCTTCTGGATCGCCTCGAAACAATGGGTCGTGCATTCTAAAACGAATTTCTATTATCTACACGCCGCATACATATATATTTTGATTTACGACTATATATCTATACATTGCGTCTCGAGCTCGCCCGTCAAAAGAACAATGCCATTATCGAGTAATGAAGTAGCAGCAGCAGCTGTTGGTCGCGATCGTAATATACATATAGAGTGTATAATACACTAGCATAAAGTGAAAATCCGTCTTAACGAAGCCATAATAATAATCGGAACAATCGGATCCTTATAATTCCTCGGCGCAAACGCAGATACGTAGACAACTATCTGTGTATACAGCAATGAATCTAAAAAACAAACGTAATTAAATTTCTCCAAATCGATTGGCGCCTGCTGCCCTAGTGCGTGTATATGTATAGCGCTTCGGCGCGAGATCGTGTTAGAAAAGAAACAAAAGAAAACGAAATCAATGATTAGAACAATATTAAGTGAACGCGTATATGCGGGCCACTTGCTATAAAAAAAAAAGATAAAAAGGATACGTTCGTATATGAATCGAGTATGCCAGCTAACAGCGAGCGTTAACTTTCATTTAATAATACAAAGTCCCTCTGTTGTCTGTGTGCGTCCGCGCGTCCGTATTGCGGACTCCGTATAGAAGTCGTGAGCAGCTCGTCACGCGCAGCGTAAAAATAAAGAAAAAATAAAGACTTCGGTAAAATTTCACCTCGTTTTCCGCTCGGCGCTCGAAAGACGTATCGATCGGTAGGACGTATAAACAATGTATAAACTATACAGTCGACAGCCGAGAAGGATTAGAAAACGGCTATAATATTTGCGCTAAAATTGCTCGCAATGGTCGGTGTAATAATGAATGAAAAAGAACGTTGTTCACAATGCAAATGCCCGACGTTAAACTTGTAAATGCGCTGGTTTTCTCCAAATGGCGTCGAACGATCCATTGCATCGAGAAATTCTTCATCTTTCGGTGCTCGCACGCGCTCGCTATAGCCGCCTGTGTCGTAATCGCGGCGACCTCCATGAATCGCCACGAGGGCGAGATATGCATCCGCCAACACGAATAAATTAATAGAGATCATTAATAATATACTCGCACGTGATGCACGAGGAAGGAGGAGAAAAAAAAATAGAGTCAGTGCTCGCGCGATGATTGTTCGTATAACAGGTGTGTAACGAACTTGTATGAACGTAGAGCCCGTACAGCGTAACGGATTATTCATTATTTTATCCTTCTGACGCTACGCGCAGCCGATGTGTGTTCTCAACGTGTATAGGTATATATACCTCGAGGCGATACTTGGCTACGCATCGGCGCGCCTCGTACGATCAATTTTATTTCATAATTAATATACGAGTGCAGTTGTAAAGATGTCGATACACACCGAACGGAGTACGAGAGGCTACCGTACGCTATATAGGTTGACTTCGATTCTGTTCGGTGGAACGCCGGAATCTCCTATGCTTACGAAGGTACACGTGCTGCAGCTTCCGACAATTTCATCTGATTAACGCGCGTGGCTGCTGCTACCTTCAGTCAAGGATGCATGCGCTTACGATCACCGAATCGAACTTTCTTACAATATTTTCCACAGATTACAGATATTAATCAGCGAATAATCAAACTTACTTCTACTTGGCAGAACACTGTTTTCTTAATTTGTATCGATTCGTTTTCTAGAAAAATTTTTTGTAATTTCGAAGCTCGACATAGAAATTTTTACACTTGCATATGTTAAAAAAATGTGTACACAGTTTTTCAAAACCGTGCTCTATTTATACAATTATTTTCACGTTGCCACTTGCAGATTTACAAATGAAGGCGCTACCCATCTAGTGGTGGAGAATGAAATTAATTATCATTGAATTTTTATAAAATCTTTTGAACAATTTTAAAAACTGAATCAGAATTATAACATTAATTTTCAATCAAAACTTTACAATTTGAGTGTAAAATAAAATCCTTTCATTCATTTTCGCATTTTCATTTGTGCAGCTTATGTAAAAAAATGAATTAGTACTGATACATTGACTTTCAACGAAAATTCCATTTTAAAATACACTGGAAAAAATTCGGTATCGTTTAATATAATCTTAAGGCTTAATTTATAACTTTATAAGTCTACTTAAAATCAAAGATTTTTTTAGCATTGCACGATTTAAGCCCCCCATGAAAAAAGGATCGACGCCAACTAAAGCAGTTGCCGCTTTCACTGGCCAACGCTATGCACGGTTTCTCTGTACATTCGCGTACATAGCGAGCGCTGAAATATCATACGGTGTTGTGTTTGTACCTGCTAACGATCGCCGCTGCGGCGTACTCGGCGAGTATAAGCAACGCCGAACGCAGCAACTGCTTTATCGACTCTCGCGGGGCTCCGTATTACGTATATATACAACAACTCGAGCCTCGCTCATCCATATCGGGCGTTTACCTCTTTCACTTGCTTATTCCACGCATATTTCGCATTCGATGCACACCCACTTTGTATATGTACCTGCGCGTCGAGGATTGAACAAAAAAAAAACGAAACCAAACATTAATGCAAATCGATAGCTTTACCACTCGATACAGCGCATTACACAGCTACGTATAAACTAGCAGCTGCGCTTTGAAGTGAAATATGTACCGACTAATTGTTTGGCCAATTCACTTATATCATAGGTACATAAATCATTAATTTTAGAGGCAAGTTAGAATACAAACAGCAACTTAATGAATAAATAAACATATCTGCGTGTGCGTGTGAACGCGTGTATGGCTGGCTCTGATTACAAACCAGTGGCTTTCAGCGCACTCGGCGAATTCGAGCCGGAGCTCCGCTGCCGCCGCCCGCGTGTGCACTCGTACAATATATACATGTAACATGTATGTTTAATAATATTGCGGTAACTAGGGTGTGCGCGCGTATAACAAACCTCGTGATTAATAAACATTGAAGTTGACTACTGCACACGCTTTGCACACACACACCCACCCGCACACTCGTGTTTTCGTATCATACATATTATACAACGCGACGTATACGCTTTGACGCGCTCGCGTTAACTCGCTCTTCTTTATATTAATTATAAATATAAATGCAACACGCATAAATAAAGGCTTTTAATTCAAATAATAACGTGTAAAATTGTGTGCGCCGCAGGTAACGTCGCTGCTGCTCGAGGCGGAGCGTCGCAAGCTGGCCGTGCTGCAGCGCGAGCTGCAGATAGCCCTCGCCGAGGGTGGAAGCGTCAAAGTCAAGGAGAAGCAGAGACAGGAGCTGCTCCACGCCATATCGTAAGTATAAAACCACGCGCGACAGCCTTGGTGCTGGTGATCGTGGCGTACACCGGCTAAAGCGAGCAGAAAGAGAGAGAGAGAAATAATCTCGCCCGCGGTTCTATTATAAACTTGCCTCAAATTTGCGCGCGTATATATACGCACAACCGTATATGAAGTATATAATATATTGTACCAAGAAACCTTTTGAATCTTTATTATATATTATATACACACACAGTTTTAGCGGCTGACTGTACATCTTTCTCTCTCTCTCTCTCTTTTACAACCTCCGCTGAGCTTTTATCTTGCGGCTCGCTGCCGCTGCCGCTGCTGCTGCTGCTGCTGCTGCTGCTGCTGCTGCTGTCCTACTTTATATATGTATAGATCTGCAGCATAGGCAAACTTGGTAAAGCAGAGAAAATTTTAATGAACTTTCGAGCTCTCTTGATATGCGAGAATTTAATATTTTTGTGCTCGCGCGCGGCAAGCAGCTAGCTATCAGAGTGCAGCGATGGTAGGAGAAACAGGAATAAAAAGAGGAGTGTACCATGAGTAATAGTAGATACTAGTAATAGTAGTAGTAGTAGTTAGTGAATAGGATTTCCTTCGGGTGCTTAACAAAAAGATGATTATTATGTATTTTTAAATGTATTTATTCGAATCGAGTGAAAAATCTTCTACATTAAATTCTTATCGACATCATGTAGTCGCCAAGCAAATATTGCACAAATCTTCATTCGTTAGCTTATCGAAGATGATGTCACAGCAGAGAATCGGCAGTCGATAGGCATCTCATAGAGACAATCCAATGCCCAGCTTCGGAAAAATTCTTTCGTCATCATGTCGCACAAGTGTAAAGCACAAGGCTTTCTATGTCTTTCGGAGAGCTTGGACAATTTGTGCGAACACGCGAACTTGAAGAAATCTTTGAATGTGAATAACTTCGTCGCCTCTTTGGGTCGTAACTTGATTAAGTCATAGAGCGACCGAGCGACAGGCTTCGAGGAAAACAGTATATTGTCCGTTTCTGTCTCGAACTCTTCGTACAAAGATTTTTCAAAATTCATCGACTTGTCCTCGAACAGTTTGTATTTGGCGAAAAATTTCATTATCGTCAAGGCGTCGTTTCGGTAAAATTCGTATCCTCTTTTTTCAAGACTCTCGGCGATTGCCAGAACGCCAGACGCTGATTCCCATTCGAAACCCTCTTTTTTGTAATGTTGGGGCATAATTAAAGCAGTGGGGAAAACGAAGCTCGATAGATCGGCACCACGATCTAAGAGCAAATCGACCACATCTGACAAAAGATTCGCCACGGCTAATAATAGCGGCGTCCGACCAAACTTGTCAGCAGCGTCGACCAGCACTCGCTGATCGAGCTCGTCGTTGATCTCGAAGAATAGCTTCAGCAAATCATGGCCGCCGTAGTAATTCTTGCAAAGAAAGTGCAAAGGCGTTTCTCCATTCTGGTTAGCTATATTTGAATTCGCTCCTTTTCTCAGTAACAATTCGACCAAACTTGTTTGTTCGTTCTTCTGAACCATCGGTGTTGGTTCGTCTCCCTTTTCCTGGACATTGACGTTCACTGCTCTGCTGTGTCTATGCGTCTGCTGTGTCTGCTTACCGTCGGTCTCGACAGTCGTCTTCGTTAAGTTATTACAGTTGTATTGTTTGAAAATAATTTGCAGAGGAGTCAAGCCCGCTCTATCTCCCAAATTTGGATCGGCACCACTGTTTAGCAACCATTCGGCCTCCTGATATTTGCCTCTGCGTAAAGCGAAGTGCATTGGTGTGTTCCCAAACTTATCCCGGCTGTCCACCTCCAGCGATGGATGTTTCTCGTGGTAGTTCTCGAAGAATAATTCCAAACAGTCCTCGCCGTAGATATAATTCTGGCAAATAATATTCATAGATGTTAATCTGTCCTTATTGGCTAAATTCGCGTTGGCGCCTCTTTTTAGCAGCAGCTCCACCAACATTCTGTGCTTGTTTTTCAGAGCCAGGTGAAGGGGTGTGTTACCCAACTTGTCTTGCGCGTCGATATGTAATGGATGGTACTTTTCGTTGCTAAACTCGAACAGAGTTTCCGCCAATTTGACATTATCGCAAGCATGAAAGCAAATAAGATGCAGAGGTGTCCAACCATTTGCATTGGCCAAATTTGGATTGGCGTCACTGCTGAGAAGCAATTCGAACGTCTTCTTGGGTCTGTAATTGAGAATCAAGTGCAGGGGCGAGTTACCTGTTTCTGGTACGAGGCAATTGGGATCAACTTGGCCGAGCTCAAGAAATTTCTCCACTATGTCATCCAAGCCATGCCTGCACGCCACGTGAAAATGCGTTAATCCAAATTCATTGATGTAATTAACGTCAAATCTGTTATATATATTGAAAAGTTTTCTGACGAGGCCGGCGTAATAAAATGTTCTTTTTCCAAAAGAATGATGCAGTGCTGTAGTGCGATGTGGCAATGGCTCGCCGTATGAATCTGTCTTGGGCTCATCCTTGTAGTCGGCTCGAAGCACGAAGTTGATCAGTGATTTCGATTTAGTCTGGTTGTCGTCGGACTTTACAGATTCAGCAAGAAGCCAATCGATCTCTTCAATACGAAAAATATCTTGGAGGTCTGGAAATTGACCTTTCCAATTTTTGAGCAAGGGAATGAGTTGACGACGAAATTGATCTCGCTCTGCTACGTTGTCCCAATCTATCGTTTCTCGAAAGTTCTTTAAATGACTTACGAGTTGAGAGTCGTGGTTGTCGATTTCATCTGCTGCGCTGCTTTGTTCGACGAAATCGTGACGTGTAAGGAATCGTCGTTCGTTGCGTTGCTTGTCCATAGTTATGCTGTCTGACACACAAAACAAAATCGCATATAATTCACTTCACACTTCAACTTTTTCACCAAAAAAACTTGATTCGCTCAAGACTTGAGTCGGAGATGTGTACGCCAAGGTGTCGTATTCGATACTGACTAATACCCACAACTCAGCACTGTAGATATAAAAAAGAGAAAGTAAGAGAGCACGTGGGAAGTGGGGGCACACGTTTTGGAAGTTATTTACATGTTATTTGCTATGGGGAGAAATTTAGTATCGTGGCCGCCACTGCCATAACTGGAAGTCTTTTCCATAAGAGCACATGTTAAAATCGACGCCAGCGCTGCAGTGCCCTCCATCCACGCGCACACTGCGAATAATAAACCCATGTTCAGATAGCAGAGCTCGATCTAGGATTATACGAGCTCGATTCTATGTGAAGTTCTGCTAACGCGATTTGTTGAGCTGATGCAGCTCAATTTATATTTTTCTATCGCAACGAACGTGAACTGAGTCACGTCATGTCAATGTCATGCATATGTTTTTTCTCAAACCCACGCAGCGGTTTTGGGCCAAAAATAGGTGATTCAACGCTACGCTTGGCTCTGTGCAGCAGGGTCTACTTGCAAAAGAGCCCAACCAGCTCTACGAACGATGGACTCAAGGACGTAAGAGACGAATAACGCCTGGAGACGCTGCCGAGATGGCAGACGTTGATCAGTGGGTTCAGACGAATAGGCGAAATTATGAGGGAATTAGTCAGAAGAGGCGCGCGGAGAGATAGACTACAACCTTACGCAATACATGGACTAGACGGGCTCAACTACTTCAGACATTATTAGGTGTTCGAGAAATATTCGAACAAGGCAGAACACACGCACGCCTGTACTCACACACGTTCACGTGTGTGCAGACGTGCGCGTAACTCTGACTGTGAAGCAAGAGATGGCGTCGCGCCGCGGCACGTGCCGACGGCATCTCTGCTAACTGCGCATTGTTCGCGATCTCGCCCTTCTCGTTTCTGCACTCGGCGAATCCGCATCTCGTGTGTGTGTCTCGTGCGACGACCACTTTCAACAGAGAATATTCCCGACGTCATCTCAACCAACGCTACTTAGAGCATCATCTACGAGAGCTTCTCACCAACTCGACTCCTCCCGATCACCTCAACAAGCGTAAGCCAGTTCGACAAGGACTCATCAAGCTCCTCTCCCCGCTACACTCATCAAGGCTCAACTCATCGGTCTGCGAATCGGAGTCAACTCATCGATTGCGACCAGGTAAAGAAACCATCCAGACTGCAATTGAAGACCAATAATGTCTACTGCAGGCCTGATGGAATCTTTTTGTCATCACCTCAACTATCGGGATTATTTTGGCTCATCTCAATCGCACGAGCACACGGCGAGTGAAAGTGAGGTTACACGTTGCCATGTGCAATCTCACGTGAACTCGGCCAATTCATTCGACTGCTCACACCTGCGCACGAGAGGATTAATTTAACCTCTTGCGTGTTGCTCCGGTCTGCTCACAACTCAAGTTCAACTCGCTATGTGAACTCAAGAGAAGTGTTGCACGTCTCAAGTGCAACAACTCACGACAAATCAGAGTGGATTAATAAAACCAATTTTGTGTTGACAACTCAATCTTTGTGTAAACTCTTTGACAATTAAGTGTGAATTAATACAATCTCGCTTCGCGTTGACTACTCAATTTATTTGTGCAATCATTGATAACTCAAGTGTAAAATCAATTGACAATTCAGTGTACTCAACAACATCAGTGTTTTTGAGTGATTAATAAAGAAAATTGTGAAAATAGAAATTCATGAGATTTTGCAGTGTTTTCTTTTGAGACCCAATCATGCACCCATCCAATTATTTATAGTTTGTTTAAACAATTCTCAAACATTAGGCAATGTTGCCTAATTTTTTTCAAACCATGTTGTTTATTTTATTGCACGAGGCGTTATGTTAATTACGTTGATTAATATTTTTGTGTGTGTCGTTGGCCCATTGAAAAGTGTTGATTTTCAAGAACGAATTTCTCGTATAGAAACTGAATGAGTCGTAATAAAATTGGATAAAGAAATAAAAACTGAAAGAAAATTAGAGTCTCTGTAACGTAAATACTTATCCTTGAATAAATATTTCGTTTAAGTGGCCTAGATACTTCGATAATTTTGAGTCTGTCGAACAAACGCACAAAAACTCAGGAATTGTAGTGTAGTTCGGTATTCTCTCTATAGATTTGGCTGAATAATAATTACTTGGGGATGGGATATCAATTCTACAGAGGCAAAACGTGGCCGTTCATTGCCTCTGTATCCATGACTTAGTTTTAGGAAACATTTTATATCGAATAAGAAGAAATAAATGAAGGGTATCTTTATATTAGAAGAAAATAGAAGGAATGAATATACATACTAATAAGATATTTATTATAATTTGAACTTACATTGTGAAACTGGTAACCTTTTAATGACAGAGAGAGAGAGAGAGAGAGAGAGAGAGAGAACTTTTACAGAGCACCTTCCACTAAGAACGTCGGAGAACGAGAGAGAAGGAAGCGATCAATCATCATCAGCTCAATCATCTTTCCCGAAAAAAGAGAAAGGTTTCTTATTGATGATTAAAGCGCCACTATATTGCTCTGTGTCAAGTACTGAAGTGTTCACATAGGTTCAGCTACATATGATAAAAAATTTACTGTTTTATCTTACAAATTCATGATTTATTATTGATTTATATTATTAACAGTTATTTTAACTTATAGTAAACGAAAGATGTATTTATAATTTGATTTAGTTATTGAATCAATGGTTTAAATATTATTGGTTGTTATGTATTCTATTAATTTATTTATTCAATTGGATTATTATTATTAATCATTCATGGTTGAGAATAACGTCATCAAGCACCACGAGACTGAGGCTCGGACTTCTCTTTCTATTATTTTAATTGAAGATTAAGTTATGTCGAGTCATTAATATGCGTAAAGATAATAGATCATCTTAAGATGATTAGAATAGATAGTGTATCAGGTTGCATATGTAAAGGCGTCGCTTTAGAGACTTGAGTAGTCTTTCAATCGAAGTCCCAATGCATAGTATTATTCTTTTATTGATTGTCGTGGCGACATTACACACCAGACATTACAAAAATAATGAAAAATATGTTTATCGCTTTCATGAACTTTGAATTGTAGATGCCAAGCAAATATTACATAAATCTTGGTTCATTTCGCACAAATGTAAAACACAATCAATTTTATGTCTATTAAAGAACAGAAACAATTCTTCCGAGCGTCCGAACTTTAAGTAATCTTTGACTGTAAGTTGTTTAGCCGCTTCTTCGTAATTGTATCAAGTCGTAGAGCGACAAACTCGGAATAACCATTATCTCTTTAGCTTCTGTCACGAACTCCGTGTCGTCATACCAAAATTTTTCAAGATCTATCGGCTTCTAGAACACTTTGTATTCAACAAAAAATGTTACGATCGTCAAGGCGTCGCTTTGGTCCAATTCGTATCCTTTTTTTTCAAGACTTTCGACGATGGCCAGAGCACCCGATGCTAATTCCAATTTTATATTAAATTCTTTAAAACAAGAGAGCGTAGTTATAACAGTGGGAAAAACGAAGCTATGTACATCAGCGCCACGATCCAAGAGAATATCAACTCTATTCGGCAAAAGATTTGCCACTGCTAATTGCAGCGGTGTCCAACCCAACTTATCTGGAGCGTCGATCTGCACTGTCTGCTGAATCTCGTCGTTGATTTCGAAGAATAGCTGCAGCATACACATGCGTGAGAGTGAAAGTAAGACATCAGATACGCGAAGTAACGTGACAGACTGGAATACCGAGACTACGTTACTGTCTAGCTGCTTCTACATGAATTGAGAATTGGAGCTAAGTAGAAGCAATTGCAGGGACGTACAAATACAGAGCAGTACAACTAGTTGGAAGTAATTTTTCCAGTTCAATGACAATAATTAGTTTAATATAATGTTTTTCAGCCTACGCACCCGTTTTAGGCTGATTACACGCTGAGAGTGCTCAGTGAGTAATGAATGCGAGTATAGTCGAGGAGATTCGGGATTCTCCTCGCACTGAAATCATTGAATACAGGTCGAGGAGACGGGCGTACAGTCGAGGAGCGCTCAAAACGTGCGCTGAGGCAGAAAAAATTTTTATTCAAGGGTTTAGAAGCCGAGTAAATATGGTGGAGAAGATTTTTGGCAGTGGCAGTAGTTATCGCCTTGGCCGCTACGCGGCCGTGGCACTGACTGCCACTGCCACTGCCAAACAATCTCCTCGACCGTATCCACTCGGCATCTACTCGTGTATAACTAAAAAAACCAAAAAACCTTAAGTACTAAGCGTTTGATTTATTCTACCCTGTCATAACATACTTAGCTATCGTATCGGGCAAATAGCCTACTTTGACTGTTCCAATGCAAGTCAGCCTTCAAGTTCATTCTTTAGAATTTTGTATTGGGCATAAAACAAATAGAGGAACTACCATAGTCGACGAGAGCGCGCGCGAATATTTCTCGAAATCAGTTTTTGCCTATACGTCGAAGAGAGTGCAAAAAAAGAAGATAAAGAAAAAAAAATAAGTCTAGTTCAATGCATACGTATACACATCTCGAAGATATCTCAATTCACCTTGTCCTCTTTCACGTGTGTTTTTTTTTCTCGCAGGAAAATACAAGCGCAGCATCAACAGCTGGACAAGGAGTATAGGATACACGCGGCGGGTGTCCTCCTCTGCAATTCACGCGTCTCCGGCAAGGTGAGTAGCTTCTTCTTCTTCTTCTTCTTCTCCTACTTCTGCTTCTACTTTTTTGCCCTCTATCTCGTCCCGTCGTTCATGAATAATATATATACATATTGCATCCCCGATGTAAAAGAGAATTCAAATCCTCATGGCGAAGGTATACATATCTATACAACGGAGCGCCCAGATCCGAGAAAGCGTATTATAGTTCTCGCGCTTCTCCCTCCGCATGTATATATCGTCTTTATAACCAGACTAAGATACAATATATAGATACACCGCGCTCGAGTCGGAAAGTTGTGAATTTTTCATTATGACTTCTCCGAGCGCTAAATTTTCATTCCACCGCGTGTCTATATCTTGGCGCAGCCCAACGCACACGCGCGCCAAAGCTGCGAGAGAGATAGTGCGCAGAGATTCCAACACGCGTAAGGAGGATGTATCGCTTTGGTAAGCGCGCGACGCCGCAGGTAAGTATATAATCAAAGTGTACATACGTTCAATAATTCACGAGATGGTCTATGCATAATATTATATAAACAGACTTTTGAAGCTGGATCAGTTATAATAGCTCAAGACTGCAATTATCGCCGAGTTATTACATAACAATGCGTTTATATTCATTAAATCCTAGCACGCGCGCGCCTGGCTATTTAATTTCCAGCCCGATGAGATGTATATTGAATCATTTTTCTTCTCTCTCTCTCTCTTCCTCGTCCCCGTTATAGTTTTCTGCGAATCTCGTTGGAGCGAGCGCAATAAAGAGAGATGGATTTAACGAGTTTTTCGGGTTTTCTCTCTCTCTCACTGCCGCATTTTCAGCACCGTAGCGCGCGGAATGCTTTATTTATAGAGTCGAATGACATTTATATACGAAAACTTAAATGGCCGATGTTTATAATTACCCTGTTAATACCTCGGGCATAATAAAGCTCGGCTCGAAACGAAAATATATAAAGCTCGAGATTTCTTTCTCTCTGCGTTTTCGAATGACACAACCGCGCGCCATTCTTATTTATGCGCGCGAAACATCATTTCGCATTTTCCTCGAACAAAGCTTTCAAGGCTCGAGCTTTTCACTGCCTCGGAGGCAGTGCTTAAATTGGCAGCTGTCTGATATTTTCCAATGTGTGCGTTACTATTGTACGATGACAGCCGTATAGTAGAGCAGCGTCGGCGGCGGCGGCAGCTGCGTTATGAGTAATGGAAAAGTCATTAAGCTAAGTAGCAGTAGTGGGCACGCGTGGGTGTGTCTCCGCAGCTTAGCGCAGCGTAGAGCAGCATAACTTCAGGTGTGACTTTGTACTCTCTCTCACACACACACACACACACACGAGAAGACCGCGATATATATCTTTAAAGCTCCGCTACAAGAGCTGTGTGTATATCTTAACTCCTAGCAAGCTGTATATATAGACAGAAGAAAATGTGCTGCTTTGGGGTGGCTGCTGCCACCGTCGCCGCCACACCTGTGCGATGGTGGCAAGAAGCGGCGTTATCGCGCCCCCGAGAGCTTTTCATTAACGAAGAAACTCGATTCGCGCGCGCTGCTGCTGCTGCAGCTCCTTCCAGCAGCAGCTATGAGCTCTTTCTGAGCTATATAATGGCAGCTGCATCGTAGAGAGAAGGAGAGAGGCTCTCGAGTCTCGCGCTGTTTCGTCTACTTATATACCACGTATATATATCACCTATAGCTCGGAGAGAGAAAAAATGTTGCCTCGAGTTTATGAGATTTTTTTTTCTCACGACCCACCCTCTCTCTCTCTTTCTTCTTTCTTTTAGCTGCAGCGTACGCGTAACGCTAAAATACATCTATACGCGTACGGGGGGTCTGCTTCGTTTACGTATAGCATCTCTATATTATATTAGCTTTGCGCGAGATGACTCGTGCTTAATTTCTCTCGATGCAGTGCACGCCACGGCTGATTATACGTACGATCGGAGCACATCCCGTAGTACTCGATGACTCGAGTTTATATTTTTACTCGGCTCGGGGGTAAATATAAAGCTTATATACTACTACTAGTCCCGTGTCGTAAACGATTATGGACACATAAACGAGGCTTACAGATGCAAATCCTCGCGAGTGCGCAAACTTTCCTCCGTATATACCTAAAAGCGTGGCCCTCGATTTTTTTTTCGAGTATATAGACGCGCACCAAGGAATTACGACAAAAAGCTCGCGCGCTCGAAATCGCGGTACTTCGTCACGACGTTTCTAATAAAATCCCGCGGGCAGAATCGTCAGAGTTGTTGGAAATATTATTATATGTGCGCGCGTAAACATTCGGGAGAATGGAGGCTTTCGCGAGCCATCGCGCGCCTGAAAAAGAGTAACGATCGTCTCGTATATAACAGTTATGTGTCTCTCTCTTTCTCTCGCAAGCTCGGGCCGTTTCGAGCTTTCGGTCTACGAGGAACGTAATGTTATAAATAGTAGCAAGCGGGAAATCAAACGATCAGACGCGCGCGGCGAGCACAAAGGATCTGAAAAGCCAATCCATATAACAATGACAGTTCTACCCACTGCTGGTACTTTAAACCTCGCCGGTCGAGAGGAAGAGAGAGAGAGTTGAGATATAGATGAGAGCAAGAAGGCCATTGAATGCCGTTAAAGTCGCGCGTATACTTCCTTTTTTCTTTTGTTTAATAATTCTCTCTCATGCTTCCTCTCGCGCGAAAGGGTTGCGCTTGTATTTGTGCAGCAGCCACATCGAACCTAAAGAAAAGAGAATAAAAATAAAATTCCGCCATTCCCTCTCGTTGTGATATTTATCGTCGTAATCTCAAGTCTCTCGCTCGCGCGTGAGATACCCCCCTTCCTATATTGTTATATCGAAAGTCTCGCGCTCTCCCAACAATGCCGCGTTGATACTGTTATTTCGTTCATCCTCGTCGTCGTCGTCGTCGTCGTCTTAAGTTTCGTCGCATCTCTCGGCTGCGGTATATAAGTTTCGTATGTGCACTTGGATGCAAGCAGCAGCAGCAGCAGCCGGAGTTTACCAAAACAACGTGTACGCGTATATGTATACAATTCGCACGCGAGCGGAACGAGGATCTGGAGACGTGCTCTATATATAATACCCAAGCCCCGAGTTTCTCGTATATACCTCATACAGCGTACGTGTAAACATGAATATGTGTGTGTGGGTGCACGAGCGAAAGGGGGGGGGGCTGCTTTCACACGAGCTGCAAAGGAATTTCAAGATGAATGGCGCAGGATTTTCCATGCCTCTCTCTCTCTCTCTATGCTGTATGCAGGTGAACACGCGCCGGCTCATATACGTATACGTACTGTACGTATGCATGCCCCCCGTGAGATTTATCAAAATTAAACCACCGAGCTCGTATAACGCGTCGTCGTCGTCGTCGTCATCGTGTGGTGTTTGTTTGTAAATTGCTTCAATAATTCGTATTACGATGTACCGAGGCATTTATTGCGACGATGCGTATGTATTGTATTAGAAATAAAAGGGCGTGTACGATGCGATGTACATCTACCTCGTCATCGAGATTCACGCTTCGGGTGATTCCAACTCCTTTTTTCTACACCGAAAATTCCCAACGATGATCATGCCTTGGCTCTTATATGAGTGGCTCTGAATCGTACAGCTTATGTCACTTTTATTGTTGTCATTATTATTCTTTTTCAGAGTTGAAAAAATTTTTTAAAATACTTTTTTTTAGTTAAAACTTGTAAGGTCCCGTAATATTGATTTTTGAGTTTACACAGTTTCTTTTGTACTTATTACTCCATTGGTTTTTTTCCGCGTTTCGATTGCTCTCTTTGTCGAGATACAATGAACATCTCGTAATTATTCATGATTTCAAGGATAAAGATCACCAGCTGACTAAGTCTCTTCGCTTTCACATATTCATAATTTACCTCTCAAATGTTTTTTTTTCTTCATTTCCTTATTTTAAAGCTGATCAATGCCAAAAAAGATCAACTATCGTGTTATGCTAATTATTCCATTCATGAATCGCTGCTGTAGTTACACACGTGTTGATTTTTTTTTTTGTCCTTTGTTACGTTTGTATAAAAAGAAGTCGAAAAAGAAGTTGGAGCTCAGTGTAGCTTCGACGAGCTAAGAGAGCAAACCAGCGTATACAATATGTCGAGACTCAAGACGTTTGGCGCGATCGTCGCGGCTCTGCACGGCCTCGTGTTGCTCGGCTCGATCGCGCCCGCGAGCGCCTCGCGGGTCTTATCGCTTCGACGCGACATCGGTGACAAGGACCTGCTGTACAACGGCGAGAACTCCGTCGAGAGTATCACCACCGTTTATTACGGCGCGTGGGACAGAATCTTCGATATCGCGCAGCTGGGGTACAAGCAAGGCTTGGTACGCCGCGTGCAGGCGAGTTTCTCGGGTGTCGAACCGAAGGAGGACGAGTGCATGGTCTCGATGAACTCCCATTCAGATCAGTACGGTGGCTACATCAGTCCGGATCACGTTAAAGTCGAGTCTCTGGGCAAGGACCGAGCGATCGTTCGTTGGGTCGAGCTGCACGGTGGTGGAAGGTATCACTTGCATTTCAGCATCGTCGATTTTTCCAATTGTGAAAATGAAAGAGAGACCCGAACCGAACTTCCGGAAGGCAAAGATATCGACAAGCTGGTCGATAAGTATGTGAAAGGAGAGGACGATTTCGAAGTTGTGATGTTGAACGGGACGAGCGTTTCTAGATTAACGGTCGATGCCCAAGGAGTTGCTTCGAAAATTGATACATTGCTGACTTACCAGAGCGACGGCCACAACGAGCCACGTATCTTTCCGCTGGCAAAGGGCGAGGGCTATTTGTTTATAGAAGTGCCACCTCACTCGTCGACCGAAAAAGATTCAATGACAGTATCTCATATTAAGCCTGACGGTAATTGATAAGAAAACATTGATTAAATCATCCAAACCGAATTGGTTCAATTAAGATTTTATTATCCAATTTTCAGGTCAAAAGCAATACTTAACTGCAATCAATGAAGCGTACTTTCCTTCGGTATCCTTGGCCAACGGATTGATCGGCATATGCGCTCTGCGAAACGTCACGACGATGAAATGCACGCAATTCAAACTCGGCGACAAAGACATCAGTTGGTTCTCGGCCAGTCTCCCGAACACGGAATTATCTTGGTCGGAACGAGTCGTATACAATTTGCCGAGAGGCGAGGGATTTCTGACTCACGTTCGCGGCAACGAGGGCCTGGAAAAATCCTCGCTCGATAGCATAAGCGACAAGTACCTGGTGAAGATCGGTTTGGACGGGAAAGCCAAACAATTCCTGGATGCCGAAATGAGGTGTCGGTACGTGTCTCCCGGAGTCCAAGAGACCGGCGTGCTCAAAATTTCCGAGGACGAGCGAGGCAATTACTGCCTGAGCACCGTCTGCGTGAAGCGCATTATAGACTCTACTCCAGATGCGGAGAACTTCAAAGAATTAGTAGCCACTGCGGTCAACGAAAATAAAAATCTTTATGTAAAATTACACTCCAAGTGCTTCGAGCCGAACGATTTTACAAATATTTCAAAATAATTTATGGAAATACTTGACGACAAAATAAAGCTAATCGTCGAATGATAAATATTAATCGTTGCTGTTTATTTTCATTTTGCACTAGCATGTAAACAAATGGTTCGATTTAATTTGAAAGAAAATTCGTGATACATACATTTGTTTTTTACTTCGTCTAATTTTTAAATAAATAGAAAAAATATAAATGAAGTAGATAGGATTATTTCTCATACCTTCATATCATATTTATCAAGATTCTATTCAAAAAGTCCTACTTGAAATAATTAAAAAAAGATTTTGTTTTTTTTTCAAATTGAAGTTAAAATTTGGCCTCATTTTAAAGAGATATTTAGTTCACGGTAGCTTTGAGATTAGGCTCAAGTAAAATCCAAGGGTACCACTGGCTTACTTGTCGAAAAATAAGGTGCAGACGTATTTTGTGATTTTTTTTAATGCTTACTAAGCGAGCTTAGCGGCAATTTTCATACTTTTTCTCCGTTCCGTACACACAATGGATATTAGACAACTAAATTACCAGTTTCGTATGCTATTTCTTTTACTTGTTTAAGCTTTAATTTTTTTTTTAATTTCAAACGTATTGAATTTATCACTTCTTTTAAAATTAAATTTTTTATTGAATTTCGTTGAAGTTGTACCTCTGCATGATGTTCCCATCAACTGCTTACAAATTTTAAAAATGACAATTTAACTTGAATTATAGGTTCTTTTTATTATTTTATTTATCAATTACGCCATGATTTTTAACGCGATTCGATTGTTTTTTTGGCTGACCAGAATAAGTATGTTGAGATACTACTTCTTCTATTGACTTATCTTAATTCAAGTGTCACCCACTTCTCGAGTGAGTCACACGTGTCAAGAATAAAGATGAAGAATATTAAGGTGAAGAATAAATATGAAGAATAAACTGTACGATTTCGTAATTATTGAAGATTTCAAAGATAATTATCAAGGATAAATGGGTCCGCATCAGGCATAAAACCACTTCTGTGTTTCCATTTTTGACAGTTCAGGATTCTTCTTTTTCTTACAATTGGTTAACACCGATCGCCGCGTTCTTTTACGCCTATAAAATCAAGGCACAAAAGAAGTCGGAGCTCAGTGTCGATTCGACGAGCAACGAACTGAGAGAGCTGCAGAGCACAATACACGCAACATATACCGGCAACGATGCCGACACTCGCGAAGTTTTGCGCGATCGTCGTGGCTCTGTACGGCCTCGTGTTGCTCGTTTCGGTTTCGCCCGTGAGCGCATACCGCAATTACATATCGTTCGAACGCGATATCGGTGAAAATTTCTTGGTGTACGGTCCAGCTTCCCATGAGAACAACACACTTTATTACGGCATCTGCGACAGGGAAGTCAATCAGACGCAGAAGGAATTAATCGTGCGCCGTACGCAGGCGAGGCTTGGCAGGCCGAAGGAGGACGAGTGCAAAATCACGCTGCGCTCCGAGTCCGGCGACTTCATAGTGACGGATCTCATTGCGATTTATCCTCTGGGCAAGGATCGAGCGGTCGTGCGTTGGCACGAGCAAACCGGCCGCAAAGTCAGAAAGCATCGGCTGCGATTCAGCATCGTCGATTTTTCCAATTGTCAGGTCAAAACGACCAAACTTTCGGAAGATCTCGATTGGCTGATCAAAGATCAAGACAAAGATGAATCAATAAATTGGCAATTTACGAATGGATACTATAATAATCTTTACGTTACACCAGCGTATATTGCAGGAGACGATCATTTTAAAGCTTGGTCATGGGATCAGCTGAGCCTTGATGTAATGTCAATCGACCTCGAAGGTGTTGCTTCGAAGATCAATAAGGTGTTCACGAATCCATTCGAACCAATCCCATTTCAAAGTCCATATATCGATCCGCCGCAAATCTTTCCCCTGATAAAGGACGAGGGCTTTTTGATTATCGATTATTCAACATTCTCAAAAGACATGGTACCGTTGACTACAGTTCATCATCTTCAGCCTAATGGTGACTGATATAGCAAAAAAGTTATTAATTCTTGAGATTGAAATCAACAATAACGAAACTTTTTTTCAAATTTTCAGGTGAATTGAAAAATTTAACTTTGGAACCTTTGGAAGATTTTAGATATGTGAGCTTGGGCTCCTGGGATAATGGATTGATCGGTCTATGCGTTAGAACCCGGGGTGATGATGACGCAACGACGACTTGCACGCAGTTCAAGCTCAACGACAAAGAGATCCACTGGTTTTCGGCCAGTATCATCCCAATCATCGGCAGCGGACGATTGATGCACAATTTTCCGGGGGGCGAAGGATTTTTTACTTACGCCAGCATAAACTACGGCGGAAAAGGCAACCAAGCCAGAGGCGACAAGTATCTGGTGAAATTCGGTCCGGATGGAAAAGCCAAGCAGTTCCTGGATCCTCGTATGGTGTGCCGGAGCGAGCCTAGGGAGGCTGGCTACAATAAACTCTTCGATGACGAGTGGGGCAATATTTGCTTGAGCACCGTCTGCGTGAGAGTGTCCGAAGGCTTCGCTCGTTACGAAGGATCGAGCTACGTAAGATTTGAGTCCAAGTGCTTCGGACCGGAAGATTTTAAAAACATTACGAAACTCGAGGTAAAAAAGGTTGATAAAGCGGATGGTATAGATCATCATCAATATATACCTTCCTACCACTACGATATGTCGAATGAATATGACGAAGCACGAGTCTGTACTCGCCTGTGATCAAGTTTAAATTCAAAGGAAAATTTCTTACTCATACATTAGTTTCAAACTATTTTCTACTTTGTATTCAATCTATTTCGTCTTTCAAAATCGAATAAAAAAAAGCAAATCTATGAATTAACTTGCCATAACGATTTGATTGATTTCAAAACCCGACCAGCGCTTTCAAAAATACCAATCAATGCAGTTAGTTTTTTTTACCACAAGAAGATAATATTAATCACGTAAATGAATAAAAAAACTCACTAGTGCGGCCGAATCAACTGGTTTTCGCGCGAGACTGGCTGATCGATTTTTTCATAATTTTACGATAAAAATTACGAGGTTTATTACCCGAATTCGACGAACGAAACAATCGCTTACATTCGAGCAAACATTCGCTTCCAGAAGCGGCGTACGCACGTTACATATATTACGTACAGATTTGCCTCGGAGAATTTCTCGTCGGAGCGAGATTTTCTCAACGTCGGCAGGAATACGGTCAAATAACACACATGTGCGGCCCAGCGCAGAGAGAGAGAGAGATAGAGAAGCAGACGAAGTTACAAAGATACAGATACAGCGAAACTCCTGCAAGCTCTTATCGTATCGTGTAAGCCGTACGGCGCTATATGTATATAGAACGTGTGTTGAACAAGGGAACATATTCGCGAGCATATTATTCGTGGTTCGGGGCGAGCTTGTACGTATCCTCTCGATATACAGCATGACTTTACATTTGCCTCGTGTATAGTGGTATTTTTTCTCCCCTCTCTGTCTTTTTTTCGGACGATGATTTTCAATGGCTCGATTGCGAGCTTGTCCAAATTTGCACATAAAAAAAAGGGGAAAAATTTCAATTTCGCCCGCAGCGATCAGCAATTTTTGACGCGCACCGTTGTAAATTTATATACATGGATCGACGAGTGGAAGCTAGCGAATAAAGCCGGGTATTTCAATCCTCGCTGCTGCTGCTTAGTACTACTACTACTAACATTACTATAAAGGCTGTAATGATCATTCAGATCCTTCACGAGTATAGATATATAGCTAAAGGACCTTGCATTCGAGCAGCCGCGTGATACGAGTGCTGCTGTACGAGTTATATTATATGTTGTGGCTTGAAACTACAGCTCCTCGATCCTTTCCCTCTCTGCTCTCACCCCATCCTCGTGAATTCGCGCGCAGAAACATCATGATGCGTGATTGCGTATCTCGACGCGCTCGCACACACAGATATATATTATTCTACTGCTGGGAGGCTCGTGCGCAGCAGCAGCAGCGCTACTGGTACACGCATTCAAATATACACGAGGGGATTATTGTGGCAGGCCGCGAAATTATTTTTGTTCGCATACACGTATATGTACGCTTCATCGCTCGCGTGCAGCTGCGCACGAGCTCGATGCACACATATACGAGTAACACACATGCACACAGATATAGGTATAGGTAGTTTTTTTTTTTTATTCCATCGACGACTCTCGGTAGAAGTAGTAGCGCCAATAGTAATAGCGCTGGTTCGCAGTGTGCTCGAGCTTTTAAAATTTTCCCACCGACCGTGAGCTTTCGTATTAAACTGCGGCCCAGCAGCCGCGGTGTAGCCCATGAGAGACGGCTGCAGAGTGCCGGATCGTTATATAGGTGCGTGTGTGCGCGCCTCGATATGTGTGAAAGCTCGTACACGATAACAGCAGCACTTCCAATGTTGGCCTTTTTGCGGGTTATAATCTTTCGATATATAGAGCAATCGCGCGCACGGATTTCTCCCCGTTCCTCTCACACGTGCGAGCTATAGTGATAAAATTTTTCAATACGTCCCTCGACTACATTATATTATACAACGCACGATCTAGAATCCTTTCCAAATGTTCACTGTATCGAATCAAACATTGCTAAAGTTTCAACGTATACACTTGCGAAACTAAAAAAGTACAAAAAAAAAGTAAAACAATTTCACCTTGGTTCGAGAGTAGCGCAGCGCCCTAAAGCTGCTACTGCTGCTGCTGCTTTCTCATTTAAAATTGACATTAAAAAATAAACGCCGCGCGTAGTGAGAAGCTTTTCACGTCGGTCGTATAGGTGTAGCTGCAGCTATATACATGTATTATATATAGGAGGAGAGCTCGCGAGCTGGGCACACTTTGCGTCCGCAGCGCACTTGCACTCAGGAAAAAATATTTGCTCAGCCTGACGTATTACTCGCGCCGTGCTGCGTCATACTTCCACTACTGCTGCTGCTGCTGCTGCTGCTGCTGCTGGTGTATGTACACACGGAACGTTGGTGGCGGTAGGAGTGCCGTTGCT